AAGTAATTTACAAAATTTGTTTGACTTGAGTTTATTTATTAATGAGTAACGTCTCTTTTGAGTGAATGTGGAAATTTTTTATGTTAACAGGTTTTACCATGTTATTACAACCACTTTTTTATTAATTTAAAAATGTAGAAATTCTTTCAAATTTAAATATTGTACAAAAACTATAGCAAAAACCAGTTTGATGCATATTTTATCAGTATTTTAGAAATTGAATTTGAATATTACCATTACTGACTTCAATGGATTTCATTAAATTCCTTTGAACACAACTGCTCAAAACAGTCTAAATTTATGAAACCTACAAATTCAAAACATTATTACTCTGACATTTTTAATGTAACTTGAAATCGCATCATATGACCCCTTTAATTATTATGTGCATGTGTGTGTGTGTGTATACATATATACATATACATATACCTATATATCTATTAGGGCTGTCGCGATTCGTCGATTTTATTAGACTATTCGATTTTTAAAAATCCTCGACCTCATTTTGCTCGCGTAGACTAACTGGCAAAATACCGGAAGTGGCGCATTTCACAGATGAGAATGTATAATAGGGCTGCACGATAAATCGAAATGGAATCGAGATCGCGATTCGACAATCGCGCAATAAAATCGTCTGCGATTTTTTTGCGTAACTTGTCAGTGAACTACGGCTATGTGTAGTAAACTCTGCTCCATCTGAAAGCACGTGATGATGATTCCCTGCTGATTACAGAACCGGCTTTACTAACAAAATGCGTATGACAATCGCATTCGATTAATCGTGCAGCTCTAATGTATAAAACACATTATTAGTCTGTTTTCCAAGGCTGCATGATATATTAAACACATTTAAAAATCATTGTCAATTCACAAATGCTACGATTTAATTAAATAATTATATGCAATGCCGTTCTAATACAGTATATGCGCTTTAATTATTTACATGCGTGTAGGTTAAGTACATGCGTCACACAGCGGCTCCGTTCACAGTAGTTCATCGCACAGTAATGTGTAAAAACAATCGTCAGGCCGTTGGCTCCCTCTGCAGGCCTTCGTTGTAATGCGTAATGTACTATAATATTTAATATATTATTGTTTATAATACATTGTATTTTAACATTTTTGTTCAATAAAACCATATGATTTCTTGCTTTTGATACTTTATTTGAACTAATTGTTATTGCCTCATTGTTATTATATATGTATTTTAAGTTATTTTAAAGGCTATTGTTCACTTACATCTATTTTTATTACCACAAAAAAAATTATTATAATTATAGGGCACTATGAAATCTGTTTTATTTCCAAATTCTTTTTTTTCCATTTTCATTTTTCTATACTCCATTTTAATGGTTAATTTTAATTTTATTAATCAAAAAGCCGGTCTAATTAATTGAGTTTTACAGTTTTATCTTTACCGAATTCTTCTATACTCTGTTTTAATGGTTAAATTAAATTGTATTAATCAAAAAACCTGTCTAATTAATTGAGTTTTACAGTTTTATTTTTACCAAATTCAGTTTTCCATTATTTTCTGAATTCTATTTTAATGGTTCCATTAAATTTTAATAACCAAAAGCATCTCCAATTAATTGATTTTATAAAAAAAAATAAAAGTATTTTTTCCCCCAGAAATACTGCACATTTACATTTTTCTCCTAAATAAATTCTGGTAAATAATATTTCTGGTAAATACTCCTTTAAAAAGTGTTTTTTGATTATAATGTTATTATTAGTAGACTAGAACACGTGGATATGTTGTCATTCTTACACTATAATACTGAACTTTGATTTCAGTGATTTGGACTATGAGATGGACATTTGCTTCTTGCACTTATGTTGCACTTAAATTTTTTACTTTTGGATTTCATTTGGTTTAATGAAATGTAGTTTAATAAAATATTCTTAAGTAAAATTGTTGATTTATTTTGTGGGAAATTAATCGTTTAGATTAATTGATTAATCGATAAATTAGTCGACAGATTAATCGAAAATAAAAATAGTCATTAGTGGCAGCCCTAATATCTATATCTTTATCTTAAAAAAAAAAAAAAAGTAACTTGTAACTTTGTAAAAATGTAAAAACAAATGTGAAATGTAACTTATTAAAAAATGTATGTAATAAAGTTTTACAATTTTGAAACATTTAAGTTTAATAAATAAAAAAAAAAATAATGAATTTGAAAATCTGGAATTAAAATAATTAAAATTTGAAATAAAACAAAGTGTTAGAATATAATTTGTAATGAAATATATATTTTAATAAAAAATATTAGTGGTCTCAGACTTGTGGACCCCACTACATTTTTGGCAAATTTAATAATAATAATAAAAAAAGTATAATTTATATGTAATTTTAACCATATGGTTAAAATTATATATAAATTATAGATAGCTGATATGATTATTATTAACTGGACTATATCTTTGCCAGGCTACACTATAATTCTTTAATGGACATCCAAAGAAGAGAATAGTAATCTTTATATTACTTAACTGGCTAATTCTAAAATAATGACCATGAGTTTGTAATTGCTTATATTTTGTGCCTTCTTAGCTTTCCTGCTGTCTTAATTTAATTTGAATGCCTAACTGGTTCTCTCTAGTGAGTAGCTAAATGCATTCACTATTTATGTCAAGCGAGGAACTATACATAATGAAAATGAAGGGCACACAGAGACCTTCTGTTAGCATTCGGTTTTATCCTGTGCGTTTTTCAATGGCTGTAATTGACGGAGAATGACGGCCACATGACTGCTGTGTGTGTGAATGTGAAGACCCTTTCACCCACTGTGACCCACTGCTATGAACTCAAGGAACTCGATGTTACGGTATTGCTGTTTCTTTATTGGCTCGACGCTTGTTTGAGATCATCATCACTATCGCTGTTGTCTGACCATTACGCTTGATAGTTGTGTGATAGTGTGTAATTTTTTTACTAGTGAAAACTAGCTGCATACTAGGTGTGAACATCAGTGGGGGTTTACTTCAAAGACTCTGCTTTGAGGCTGTGAAGATGCACTTAGATAGATGATACCTCGATAAACGTGAGCTTGATGAATCAGCAATAATATGTGAAATGCTAGATGGTTGATATCATTTTCAGATGACACTGCTGTAACTCTCTAAAAGTGACTGGTGCTTTAGTGCTGATTGATTGTTCGATTGCTTTTTTTTTCCTTTCTTCTTGATTCCGCTCCTGCCTGAACATGATTAGTATCCAAAGCCAAAACTTTAAAAATAAATTTCCCACATCATATTGTGCACAGTTGTGTTTAGTATTCCAAAGGAAATATATTTTCACAATTTCTGTTGAAATATAATAACTTTGAAGTGACGCTTCTTTTCTGCTGATGTCATCAAGGCCTTGTGGGCGGGGAAAATGATCATAAACCGTAATATCATAACCTAATGATCCAAATCTATAATAATATAATAGACTATAATAATATTAGTGTGTTTTTTATAATCCTTTATTTTATATAATTTTCATATCATTAGTTTAATTGTATTGCCTGTGTGTGTGTGTGTGTGTGTGTATATAATAAGTAATAGATTATATAAATAATCAAAAATGTTTATTCATTTTATTATTAATACAAAACAGCCAAAATAGCCATGCTGAAATGATAATGTTATATATAAATATAACAGAGGCAAAAATAACTTAAAAAAAATAGCTATTTATTTATTTTAGAATACTTTATAATATATATTTATTTATTTAAGCAAAAAATAGCCTTACTGAAATTGTAATGTTATATATAAATATAATATAGACAACAATTAATTAATTAATTGTTTTAATAGTACTTTACATTTTATTTATTTATTTACAATTAATTTTTATAAGTAATAATTGTAATTAATAATTATTATAAAACTGGCTATATATATCTGTGTGTGTGTGTGTGTGTAATAGGTTATATAAATAATAAAAAATATTTATTAATTTTATTATTAATACAAAACAGCCAAAATGGCCTTACTGAAAAGACAATGTTATATATAAATATAAAGAGACAAAAATAAATATTTTTTTTGGTAATATTTTATATTTATTTATTTATAATTAATTGGATTATTAGTAATCTAATTATTTTAATAATTTATAATAATGTATAATTGATACAAAGCTGGCAAAATAGCCTTACTGAAATAATAACAAAAGTTCAGTTCAATTCACCTGCATGTTATTTTACACACATACTATGATTTATATATAACAAAGTAAAAGAAATATAGAAATCTTAAAATTGCACAATGCAGGTTTAAGATTCAAGGAAGTCTAATGCAGAAAAAAACCATCCAGTCATTGAGTAATTTACACTGCGGAAGTTAAAGTAGATCTTGTAATCCAGCGTGTACCCAGTGTAACAGGTCTGTCTTGTTGGTAGGGTTGCAGCAGCAGTGGGTCGAGCGGGCGGACTGTCCCAGGCTATCATGGCTGACAGCTCCTCTCTAGGCAGAGTGAGCGGCTCCACTGAATCTGTGTCAACCGTCACCAGTGAGGAGTTTGTGCTTGTGCCGCCCACCGCTGGGGGCTCCCCCTCCAGCTCCGAGGGGAGGCCCAGGCTCAAGGTGTCTCTTTCTATCCTTTACTATTTGACTTAATGTGTCAATAAGAATGAAGTTAAAAGTGATCTAGAATATTTATCCTCTGCCATCTGCCAGATGTCGTGGAATGGGAGTGAGCAGCTGGAGCGGGCGATGGAGGAGGTCTTGGATGATGTTGGTGATGTCCCAGGATCTGCAGAGGAGAAAGAATGTCCTGCAGAGCTCAGCTCTAAGATCAGACCACCCAGCCTGACTCTGGACACTGCTCCTCATGGTACATCCTGCTCGCAGTAGCAAACTAACTCGTTTTTATCCCAAACTCCCATTGGTCCTTGTTAAACCATGTCTTATAAATATTTTACAAATGAACGGAGGCAGGGCTACAGTGTACTATTTTTATTTTTTTTTTACATACAGGGGTTTCAGCAGATGCTATTTAAACTAGCTCTATTTATCTTAACTACTTCCTGTTGCCAAGTGCTAAAATTGGGCGACTTTGAATACTTACTTCCTCTCTACCCCACATAAACGTCCTCATTCAGTCACTCTTGACAATGGACCAATACATAAAACAAAGGTTTATGCAAAACAAGAGTTTATTGTTTTGAGTATTTCGACACAAGCATAAAACACATTGTTCTACCTCTTAAATATGATTGGATGAGCCACTTGATGACTTGAATAATACTTAAAAAAATAAAAACAAACTATAGAGAAGAAAAGAAATAAATACATGTTTCTGAAAGTGACGTGACGTGACGTGACATGTGGCCAAGCATGGTGACCCATACTCGGAATTAGTGCTCTGCATTTATCCCATCCAAAGTGCACACACACAGCAGTGAACACACACACACCGTGAACACACACCCGGAGCAGTGGGCAGCCATTTTTTGCTGCGGCGCCCGGGGAGCAGTTGGGGGTTCGGTGCCTTGCTCAAGGGCACCTCAGTCGTGGTATTGAAGGTGAGAGAGAGCGCTGTACATTCACTCCCCCCACCTACAATCCCTGCCGGTACGAGACTCGAACCCGCAACCTTGGGTTACGAGTCCGACTCTCTAACCATTAGGCCACGACTTCCCCCAGGAAGCCGTGGTTTTCTGCAACCTAGGTTTTCTGCAACCTTGTATTGACTCTTCATTGTCTGTGTCCACAGAAGCATCAGCAGCAGTTTTGGAGAGTTCGACAGAACAGGAGGAAGACAGTGTGCAGTTCAGTAAGCTGTCCTATCTTGGCTGCACCTGGGTGAAGGCCCCTCGTAACGAGACGGAGGCCCAGAAAGCCATGGCCACCCTGCGGGCAGAGAGCGTCATCCCCATCCCTGTCACCCTCCATGTGCCCAACTGTCCAGACGGTTGTGTCCGGTCAGTCATTTGCCAAAAAATACAGTGGGGTCCATAAGTCTGAGACCACTAGTATTGTATTTTTCTCTTTATATTTTTATTTATTTATTTTATATTTTTAGATTTAGTACTTTTTTAAAATTACGTTTATATCTAAAATGTTCTGTTTATTTATTTCAGATTTATTTTGCATATGTTTGTGTTACAAATTATATTCCAAAACTATGTTTCCAGATTTTCGAATTTTGTAATTTAATATATTTTTATTATATGATTTTCTATTATATAAAATTACGTTTATATCTTTAAATGTTCTTTGTTTATTTATTTCAGATTTATTTAGCATTTTTAAATGTAATGTGTTTGTATTACGCATTGTATTCTAAAACTGTTTCAAGATTTTCAAATTTTGTAATTTATATTATATTATATTATATTATTTTTAAGGATATTCTAACAATTTATGTTGATTTGCAGATTCAAATTACATTTTTAGTAATACATTTTATATCTGGAATCGTTTTTCCTGAAAGCTGTTTCTGGATTTAATTTATTTATTAAATTTGTCTATTAAAATATATTACTTATTTAATGTTTATTATTAGTATACTCTATTTATTTAGCATTTTTCTAATTTCACTATTTTTGCCCATTACAAACTTTGATTAATTTCAGATTTAAATAAATCCTGGAGTAGTGAAATGCTTGTCATTTGCATTTTTGTAATTTAATACATTTTTCTTATTACATTCATATCTTAATGTACTGTTCTTTTTTTACAGATTTACTTTATGAATTTAATTTATTCCATATTTATTTAGCATTTTTCTAATGTAATAATATTCCTTTCCAAAGCAACTGATATTCCTGAACTTTTATTTTTATTTTCAGATTTATGTTCGTTTTTGAATCCCAGATTTTCAGAGGGTTCTCAGACTTAACCTACACCTCACAACCAGTCACAATGTATTTATTTCCACGTGTTACTCCTGCGGCTTCATAAAAGCTTTAAGACTGAGCACATTTAGCTTTCCTGCTCTGAGACAAACCACATTCAACATTGGGAGTATAAATGTGACTTCTCTGTAGTTTCTGAGTTCTTGTGATCTTCACGGTGTGTGTTTGTCTGTCAAGAGCTAACACAGCTGTCATCCGAGCTGCTTTTAGCTCCCGCTTTCAGCTTCGTAAATGTGATGTTGCACTTCTGTTTTCACACCCTGTGTGGGTTTTTGTCTTTATCTCAGGAAATGTGGCATAACCTCAGGTTTAACATCTCGCTGTTTCTCCTCCGTAAACCTCAAACCATGTCTAAAGTTAGTTAAGTGAACTTTGATGCACATGACATGTGCCACTGTCATTTAGCTTAATTCTGGTGACACCGAACGACGTTTTTGCACCTACTAGTACTAAGTACTACATCTAAGATATCTTCAGTACTTAATTTTACATGTAAATATCTTAATTAGCACTTCACATTATGATTGCACTATTAAAATTTGACCTATTTTGTTGCCTCCTAAATCGGTTTGCGTTTTGTGTGTGTGTGTGTGTGTGTGTGTGTGTTTTTCATAGCAATCAGTTGGGACTAAAGTTGATGTATATTGTAAAAGATGTCAGATTATGTGAAAGAGACTGCTTTCGATTGTTATATTTCTATTTGTATGTTTTTTATCACTCTAGGATTGTCGACCAGGCCACTGGAACAGAAATTGCATCTTTTCCCATCTACAAGGTGTTGTTTTGTGCCCGAGGATGCGAGGGATCTGTTGAGAGCGACTGCTTTTCCTTCACCGAGAGCTACCGCAGCGCGGATGACTTTCAAATCCACGTCTTCTCCTGCCATATCAAAGAGGCTGTGAGTTGCATTTGTTCATAAGTGTTCATCGAGTAAATCTCAAAGCTCAACCTCTTTTCTTTATTTAGGTTAGTCGCATCCTCTATAGCTTCTCAACAGCCTTCAGGCGTTCGTCAAAAGCTGCCACAGACATGCGAGACTCGCCATTGCCACTTTCCCCCGATAGCGATGTCGTCACCTTCACCGTTTCTCTAGAAGTGAGAGAAGATGATGGCAAAGGAAACTTCAGGTCTGTCATTACTCACTTCTGAAGAAACTTACTCCTCTCTCGCTCTTTGAGAGAGGTGTTAGTTTTTACCGTTGCTATTCACGGAGCGAGGTGAACTGTTGCTTCATTTGGTTTCTATTGTGGGCAACCACAATATTAATAAGTACAATTGTGTCTTTCTTACTTTTTTTCCCTCTCTCTTCTTGTAGTCCAGTTCCCAAAGACAGGGATAAATATTACTTCAAGCTGCGGCAGGGTGTACAGAAAAAGGTGGTGGTCACTGTCCAGCAGATGAACAATAAGGAGCTGGTAATAGAGAGGTGGGTTCTGGGATGTGGTCGGCAGAGTGCATGTTAGAATTTCAGATATTATGCCATTTTATGGAACCATAGTTTGCATTTTAATGACTGGCATGGCAGTCATTAAAATAGTTTGACCACTAATTGAAAGTGAAAAGTGTGGAACATGTACAAGCACTCTTTTTTTTCTTCTTCTTTTTTTAATGGTTTGACAATAGGCTTTTGTTCATGTAACCACAATTGGCTGCTTGCTGTTGTTAGTAAAAAGCGGACAATATTAGCAGACATTCTGGTTCTAGACATAGATATAAATAGACATTTATATAAATAATGTATAAAAAATTTGTTTATATGCTTATTATATAATTTTTATAACCTTTTTTATAGCAGTTCATGCATACAAGTAATATTATGTGTATAAACAAACTTAAATTGCACAAACACACATACATATAGTATGTTTATATACGTGTATTATGTGTATTATATATCGAAATATATATGTAGTGTTTATTTATATGTGTATTACATTAACTATATCAGTTTTATCAGTTTT